GCGTCGAGAATTTATAATAGATACTATACCTATACATTTCACACAGAATATTCCAATGCCTATTCATTAAATTCTTTTTCTTATACTTGACATTTATTTTTTTTAAGAATTGATCTCATTGTATAATTTGCTTTTTTAAGGTTTTAATTTATTTTAGTACTTAACTCTGCTTTTACAGAATAAGCAACTCTGAAGCGCCTTGTCTTTTATTTACGTTTCAAATTTTAAAGTTTTGTTCAGATGTTTACAGTAAAACCGTCATCCTCATCTGATACAGAGTCTCTGTCACGTAAATATTGCCTGTACTATTTGTACACACATGCACAACTCGCCTGTGACATATTTTCTTGATTCCTTCAACGTTTTTAGACTTTATTCAGGATTTTTCCTGAGAAAAACACAAAATTGCTTCTGTATCTGCTGCCCCGTGACGTTCTAAAACGTCATTGTTTTTGTCATTTTGAATAAGGACTACTTATCTTCTCAAGTTGATTTCTTTTCAACAAAGCAAAATATAAAACCATAATTTGGTACACGTATCGATGTAACAATTCTTAATTTGAATTTCTAGGTAGTTTTTAGATATCACAGAAAATTCAATCATTATTTTCCTTACCTATGAATTAAATATGGAACAAGGATACTTTCATATCTTGTGATTGGTCATTAACAAAATTACTTAGTAAATTCACTCTGATTCTACAAAATATTGCTCAGAAATTTATATTAAAGGACGTTGGAGTTCCTTACTGCCAGCATAAAATTTTATTATATATATTCTTAGGATACCAGGTTCTCTAAATTATTTTTATTACGTGAAACATAATTTCTTATAATTATCATAAAATTTATTACATGTGCCTTAGAAGAAGAAAACACTTCAATTTCACATGCAACCTTTTGACTTTTATCAATTAACAATAGCCACTTCCATTCATATGTCGATTCATTTCCTTAAGAAAAGACAACACAGAGCCATAAACAGGATTAAGTGATAAACGAGATTACTTCTTCCATACCAATTGTTAGGCATTTCTTTTTAACTAAAATTGACTTAGGAATTTTCCCTCCAACTGATAGTACATTAGAGCTGACGGCAGGTATGACCGGTCAACATGGAATGCTAATTTTTTTTCTGGGGAAATTATATCTCATCTATATAAAATACACTGAATTTTTATATAGTACCATTCTCATAAATTGTTGTTTAGTTACGTTTTAAAAATTCCAGAATAAATCTTTTTTTTTTAAATTGAATTAAAATGTTGCATGGTTGTATTCCATCGAATATCGAACTCCTCCATGGCACCTGATCCCACCTCTGACGTTTTGGAGGTCCGTGTCTGCTCTGCTCCTACTTTGTATTGTTTCATGGACTTTTGGTCTTGAATACAGTTCGTTATCTCCATTTGTTTCATCGATTCACTTATTTACATTTTAACTAAATGGAAATAATTTGTAATTATTTAAACATTTTATCTTATTTTAGTCAACTCCTTCAAATATTTACTCAGATACCAGGTACAAAATGATGTCTTTGATGCTGATGACTCTTGCCGTTATGGTTATGACAGGTAAGAAAAACAAAATGTTAAACAGAAAAGATGAGTAAAAACAATGTGTTTATGAAACACAGATACCCCTATGATAGCTTATAGGGAGGGTTGAAGTTTCTCAAATACAAATCAAAATCCAACGTCAAAAGGTTAAAATTGATGGTAACCCAGGGAAGGTTTTGTCACAAGAAGTACACCTATAAAATATGAAAGCCTTAGTACTAAAAATTGAAAAGTTATGGCCAAGGTTAAAGTTTTTTTAAAAGTGGGTTAGACTCAAAGGTTATGGTCAGACGGTCAAAAATAATTATACCTATTGTAATCTCTTGTCACAATGAATATAAATGTGAAATATGAAAGTGTTAAAAAGTCGACAAACTAATGTTTTTATCAATTTCAGTGCATGGTAAAACTTTTACAAAGTGTGAATTAGCCAGAGAACTGGCACGGAATGGTGTCCCACGGGCCGATATTGACGACTGTAAGTTTCTAATAAGATGCTTCACTTCAAATTACAATCAGATCCTAAATAACGAAATCCCCTTTTGCGTTTGCGGACATCTATGAATTTAGGCTTGAAAACAGAAACAAATAAAAGATAAACAATTAAATTTATTTCGATAAAAAATCATTATAAAGCCGATTAAAATGCTGATTAAAATGTTAAAACATCGGGTAAACGGAAATGTTTGGTACTTTTTGAATTAAATAAATAATGATTGCATATTCTGTTAAACAAATTTATAATTATCTGTTATAACATTTTGTCATCATGAGCAAAATCAACCTAGTTGACTTTTTCTTTATTTTTCTTAATAATATTAATTGTGCCTTTGCATTATTTATGGGTAAAATAAAGAAACGTGTACATTTTATAGTTATCGCCATATGTTTTATCGTCCCTTACACGTGAGGAGTACAAAATATAGTAGAAATAAAGAACATTTTTTTCAAACCTCAGCTTTATATCAATAACCATGAACCTATCAATATTTCTGCTTATAAAAATAAGTTTTATGTACATGAGCTTTCATTAAATATGTTAATAATTTATCTTTATTTAATAGATGTTTGTATGGCACAGTATGAGTCGAGCTTTAGAACAGGTGTCATAAGCGGAGTAAACCCAGACAAGCACAAGTCTCGAGATCATGGACTTTTTCAAATCAATGACTACTGGAATTGTGATCCGAAAGATGGCCGAAAAACAAAAAATGGCTGCAAGCATCCTTGCTCAGGTTAAATAGTATTGTCTGATATATAGATTTGTTGGTTTACTGTATAGTAACTAAAATATTTTATTGATTTTCAAATTTCATCATTTTAAGTGAAATTAATACTCCGTATCATTCTTTGTTCTAAATCATGATATGTGAAAAGAATATCAACATAATTATATACCTTTTTATAGCTAAAAGAATGCAACACAATTAATTTTTTTTGCAATAAATTTTCATATGCTTCGCTTAATCTTCGCATATGTTTAAATGAACATCTAGTCCAGTGATAGTAAAATTAAACAACTATTTATAAAAGTTTGTAATATTGTTACATTCACCATAAAAAAAATTTAGTGTACATTCACAATGACAGTAATTTTTTTTTTTTTTAATCATGACCCCTAGGGCTAGGACGGGGCCACAATGGGGAGAAAGTTTTACAAAATCTTTAATGATAACATTTCCGATGACATCGCATGTGTTCGTCAGCTAAAACGAGAACATAGGGGATTTGGATTTTCAAATTTCATCATTTTAAAGCTTTTGAAAAGGTAAGTAAAAAATATTTTGCTAAATCTTTGCAAAAACGAACACTAGGAAAATTTTGTTAACTAAAAAAAAAATTGTGGACAATGGCGTTGAAATAAAGTGGTATTTTGAATCCAAATGACTCATAAGAGATATTAAGTATAATACTGAATATTTGATTTATTGAATAATATACCCTTAATTCAAAAACTTTTTATTAATAAATATTTTTTTTTTCAGATACGCATGGAGAGACAACTGTCGTAACCTATCCTCAAGCTATCTTCGTGGATGTAATTATTAACTCATTCGATGATTGACCAAATTCAAAACAGCAAACCAAACTGTTTGCTCATAAAAATAAAGTAAATTAAAAAAAACTGCATTCAATATCGTTTTTAGAATAAATGACTTTTTTATACAATTAGAAATTAATAAGCACCTTACAATATGTGTCAATAACTCTTCTGTAGCTGGATTCTGATCATTCCTTGTACATCGACAATGTTTTATTTTCTCAGAGATGGCAAAAAACATTATTATGAGAAGCCTTCCAAACTGAATAACACATAAAAGATAAAAATTGGTAACGAAGATGTCTTAGAATATTCCAAGTAAAATATAAATCCTTCATGGAAGATATTCGTATGTACCAGCTGCACCTGTCAATAAAATAATACGCTTGAAAAAAAAGTGTGTCATATATGTAACATCCAACATTAAAAAGATTATTGTAATAGTTTGGTTGTAACAAGTCATTCATATCATATAACATATAAACGTCTTACGTCAAAAGGTATCAATTCGCTTGAGGTAACCCTGAGCCATTTTAAAGGAGATACTGTCTTATTTTAAACATTTTGTGATACGAAATTAAATTACACGTATATTGAATAAATTGAATTGATACCCGGGTTCTACACGAGCTGGTATAACCAGTACATATATGATCGCTTCACAGTTTACAAAAAGTGTATGTTTAAACTATCCTTTAATAAAGTAAAACTAAAGTAGACAATCTATTTTTACTAAACACAACAATATTATAATAATAAATTGATACGTGCATGTATAACCGCTTCACATTATTGTTTATCCATCCGTTAAAGTAAAACTTTAGATAGTTGTAGATATTTAATTTCTTTTTACTGAGCACAAAAATATTATAATAATCACGTGCATGTATTAATTTAATTTTTTTTTTGACATCTCTGAAGCTTACTTTTTCTTTCAGAATTTTCATAACATGTTTTTTCATCTGCTTTTGAGACAAGGTATTTCTGAAGACAAATATAAATTGTTGAATATTGTTCCTACAAAAGAAAAACACAATTTTATAAATGATTTGAATACGGTGTAAAACTTTTCAGTAAAATATATTCAAGATAAATCTGACTATACTATGCGCATATTGTTATAAACTTCAGGTAAGTTTAAATGCATTATATATTTTTCGCATTTTTATCATTCTTATAAAATAACTTACTTCCGTATTAATTGCGGACATTCTTTCATTCATAACACTCAATGCTGTCCGGTATACATCGACATCCTTGTCACCTGAATCTATCGACTTAACCAGATAATCCGTTGTAATGAACACTCCGCTATAGTCAGTCCCAGAGCTATATGGATATGACAGTATACACATATGATGCGGATTCACTTGCTCATAGCGTTAATTAAGCAGGTGCAACATGAATTTCATTTGTTTTCTATGAAAATTGTCATTAAAATTCAAAATCAGATTCGATAAATTGAGATCAAGAAAAGTATGCCAATTCGAACACTTCATGAATTTTTTTAAAAGTATATTACCAAAATTCTAAACAAAAAGTCGTAAAAATTATACCAATTGATGACGATTTTACTGACAACTTACCATCCTCCATGCACAATTAATGGTCCTGTTTCATTTACATCTCTTTCGTTCGATTTAACCAGGTTTATGCAACTTAGAAGTTCCTCAGATAAATTTGCCATTTTCAGACCATGAACATGATAGTGGTTAACATTCTTCATTTCCTTTCCGCGCAAGAATGAGTTCTATGATTAAGAAAAGTTTGAATATATGCGCAATGAAATACGTCTTAAACAAATATTCAACATGCCTCCCTGTAATGAAACATTACCTTAGACAACCTGATTTTACGTAAAGTCGCTCTTTCAAGAATATTAAATGTTGCAAGCAGTTCTATGTCAATGACTCCCACGGAATGTACTGCGCCATCAGTGACTGGGAAATATTGGTCACCCTTCAAATATTTATAAAATAAATTAAAAAAATTATATCATGAAATGCTTTAAAAATTTCCTTGCCTTATGATCTTTTAAGCTCATATTCAGTATTAAGGAAAGTCAAAAGAAATTCATACCATGTATGGTTGCACAATAAAGCTTAAAGCGCATTTAAGTTTTAGTCTCAATATAAGTCAGACATGTAAGAAACTAAAGAAAGGATTCTCTGCACCCCATTAATTGATGATTAAGTTTTTAAAGAATAGTTAACGGACGAAATTTGTGAAAATATTGGATCTATTAACGCATACATGTTTTATCTTCAAAGATTTATTTAACTTACTTTAAATTCAGCGTTTTGACTTATTTATTAGGGTCTTCCGTCTCCAACGGAAGACCCTTCTATTATTCTATTGTTTCTTTTTCACTTTTATTATTATTCCTTTTTTTTTTTCTTTACAATTTTTTTGCAGAAGATTTCTCGAAGACAGCTCGATCGATTTTTTTCAAATTTTCAGAGATAATGTGTTTCTATCTGAAGTTTGTACCCTTGACTCAATATTGAAAAAATCACTTCCGGTCGGGAGTTATCGCCCTTTCTGTGACTTTTAGAGGGTCTCCTTGTCCTTGAGTAATCTAAAAAACGGCATAAGCTAGAGAGCTGAAAATTTCAGCGATGATAGACGACACTTTGGTAAATTGCAGAATAGTTTTGAAAATTTCCAGAATTGTATAGTATGGAAGCTCAGTAGGGGTCAAAATTTAGGACACGAATCAAGAGTGAATTTTCGAGACATTTTGTATCATATCTTTTAAAGTATAACGATTTTGTTAAAACATAGTTAATACAATTTGTGCAAAATGACAAGATCTTTAATATGATATCAAGAAAAAAGTGCTGACTCATTACATTAGGGGCCGAGAGGGGCCAAAAGTCTTTATTGAATAGCTCTTTAACAGTAAATATTTTGTTATACATCACTGAAGAAAAAATGTATATCTTGAAAATCTACAACTATATATTATAATATTTATATCATATGTTACATAAATAGGGGCCACAAGGGGCCAGAATGCTAAATCTTTGACACTTTATATCTCGAAAGTGTGAAATATTTTGATAAGTAATATTGAACAAAAGATGTTCAAAATAATGTTCTGAACAATATGCAACCTTTCAGTTTTTGCTAAACGTCCCAATTAAGGAGTTGAAGGGTTGGCCCCTAAATATTTCTTTTGCTAATAGCTCAAAAACGAAAAATAATTTCTGAACAGTTGTTGAACAAAAAATGTTCAAAATCTTAAGAGCTTTAAGATGAGGTCCCGAAAAAGGGACTGGGCACTCGAATTAGGGGCCAAGAGGGGCCAAAAGTCTTCAATCGATAACTCTTTATCAGTTAATATTTTATAATACATTACTGAAGCAAAGATGTTTATCTCAACCATCTACAACTATATATTATGTTTTTAATGTCGTATGATACATAATTAGGGACCACAAGGGGCCAAAATGCTAAATCTTTGATGCTTTATATCTCGAAAGGGATATATATTTTGATAAGCAATATTGAACAAAAGATGTTCAAAATAATGTTCTGAACAATAAGCAACCTTTTTTTTTTGCTAAATGTCCCCATTAAGGAGTTGAAGGGTTGGCCCCTAAATATTTCTTTTGCTGATTGCTCAAAAACGAAAAAGAATTTCTGAACAGTTGTTAAACACAAAATATTCAAAATCTTTAGATCTTTAAGATGAGATCCCGAAAAGGGGCCGGGCACTCGAAATAGGGGCCAAGAGGGGCCAAAAGATTTTAATCGATAACCCTTTATCAATTAATATTTTGTAATACATTACTGAAGCAAAGATGTTTATCTCAACCATCTACAACTATATAGTATGATTTTTATGTCGTATGGTACATGATTAGGGGCCACAAGGGGCCAGAATGCTAAATCTTTGACACTTTATATCTCGAAAGGGAGAAATATTTGATAAGCAATATTGAACAAAAGATGTTCAAAATAATGTTCTGAACAATATGCAACCTTTCATTTTTCACAAAACGTTCCCATTAAGGAGTTGAAGGGTTGGCCCCTAAATATTTCTTTTGCTAATAGCTCAAAAACGGAAAAGAATTTCTGAATAGTTATTGAACAAAAAATGTTCAAAATCTTAAGATCTTTAAGATGAGATGCCGAAAAAGGGGCTGGGCTCTCGAATTAGGGGCCAAGAGGGGCCAAAAGTCTTCAATCAATAACTCTTTTTCAATTAATATTTTGTAATACATTACTGAAGCAAAGATGTTTATCTCAACCATCTACAACTATATATTATGATTTTTATGTCGTATGGTACATAATTAGGGGCCGCAAAGGGCCAGAATGCCAAATTTTTGACGCTTTATATCTCGAAAGGAAAAAATATTTTGATAAGCAATATTGAACAAAAGATGTTCAAAATAATGTTCTGAACAATATGCAACCTTTCATTTTTCACAAAACGTTCCCATTAAGGAGTTGAAGGGTTGGCCCCTAAATATTTCTTTTGCTAATAGCTCAAAAACGAAAAAGAATTTCTGAATAGTTGTTGAACAAAAAATGTTCAAAATCTTATGAGCTTTAAGATGATATGAATAAAAAAGGCCGATTCCTAAGATTAGGGGCCGTTAGGGGCAAAATGCCGATTTTTTAAAGTCTTTAATGTTCAATGTCTTTTTACAGATTGTGGTAAATCATTATTTTAGAATGAAAATCTCAATCAAAATCTTATCTCATCTCATCAAGAATTGAACGGAAGACCCACTCGTTGCTCGCAACGAGATCGTATCTAGTTTTTTATTATTATTTTACTAATAAAACATACCAGGTATATACATTCAGGTTTACTTTCAACACGTGTGTGTCAAATTGTACACACGGCCTAATTAGTGCTAAAATTAGAGTTACCTTGATATTTTCATCGTCGTCATCAGATAGTACTACAATAGAGGGTGCGTTCTGTTCCCACACCATTTGCCAGAAATGTCCAATTGTCTTTGGTAGAGGATACTGAGTCATAATATAGTGTTGTTCCTTTATAATAAAATATTAGGAATAAACTTATTTAAAGGCAAAATTATACTTGTACCAAAAATGAATATATTTCAGATGAAAGAGTTCAAAAACTATTACATTTTCTTACTATTGTTTTGGTCCTAAGGTTTCTTATTCTCAGCTTCTTAAAACGGCTAAATTTCGTGCCTCGATTTCATATCATTTTAAAAAACATCTGCTTTGTCTATTTTAATCAAACTTCGAAAGATGTTGGTGCATTGTATCGAGGGATTTTCTTTTATCGAAATGCTAAATGTGCATTAGAGTTGAAACACTTGCATCATATTGCATACATATATTATGTTTTCACAAAAGATTTTGGTACTGAACATAGTCACTAACGTGCAAAACAATTTGATTTTAAATATACTTACCAAAATAACACTTGCATTTATATAGTCATTCCGTGAACCTTTTTTTCCTTCTAATAACTTTACTCGATTGAAATCATCTGAAAAATTAATATCATAAGATCAGTACTTTTATGACAACTAAATAATATTTAAATATTGAATATGATTCGAAGAGCAGGATAGTAAAATGCTTGTTCAATCTTACGTTGACTATATGCTTGATTTATTAATTGTAGTCTCATTCTAGAAAATTTTAGAGATGTATACTAGTCGCCATCATCATAAATGAGTTTAAAGTTTTGCATTTAAATCTTTACTCGACACTCAGGCAGCATTTTGATTTAATTATTTACTTTTTAAAGTTCGTTTATGTCCCATGTGTTTCATATACATGAATATTCATGTTACTGTTACATGTGTATGCCATAATCGTTTTTGCTGATTTTTATGACGTTTAAGGAAGTGGCGACGGTATCAGTAAGTCACAATAAAGCAAAGTACTGATAAGCATCAAAATCAATAATTTTATACGAGAATTTTTCTGTGGGACAATAGTGAAGAAAATTCAAATGACCGCAAATATTTCTTAAGAGGATCAAGTATCATTTATCGATAGTTTATCTATAACCAGATTATTTTTAATGGAAAATAATAAAAAAAAAAAAATACCATTTTCCATGTTTATGAATATAATATGGATATTTTGCTGCATACTTAAACTTACACGGAACAACATTGGTCCTGTTTCTCGGAAAATTGATCTTTGATTCTCCTATTCTTTTACTTTCTTTACCAGTTGATAGGAGCATGTTCTTGTAAGTAAATAATAATATTGCCATTAATGATAATAAATCAAGTAATCTAATTATTTTTTAAAGAATTGTTCACTGTTAAATTTCTTTTGATAGAATTTCTATTTTAAAAGGTATCTAGACAAAGTTATCAGTACAATAAAATGATTATTTAGTATCGTGTGATATTAATATATCATACGTACAGAAAATTCACGATAAATCTTCAATTTACTGTCTCTCATGACATCCTCCATATGGCTAACAAATTGATGCACAGGTATAGATCTGAGAAATTATATAGTTGTTTATTTAATTTGTAAAGCTTCTGAAGATATAATGGAAAAAAGGTCTAACGCTTTACTGAAGTTTTTCATGTTTTTCTTCTTAATTTTAAGTATCTTTAGATAGTTTTGAATTACGCTTTCAACCTAATCAGTAATTATAAGTACTTACGTTTTTTCTGGTTGTGTTCCTCGTTCCAGTTTGAGATAAATCTGTTCACTACAACAAAAAAGTCAATAGAAATTATTTTTTACTCCAAAAAGGTGAAATATTGCAGTATACTCGTAATTTATCATTCTTATGCTAAACTTTTAATACTTTTATACAATTGACCGAAATGCAAATTATTTATTAAATCCGTCACATCGCAGGCACTTTATCTAGAAATGCTTTTAAAACAAATAACAACATATGGCACAAAATAATATTAAATCTATATCAAAACAAGATTCAGAAAAAAGAAATTATTCATTAATGGGATTGGCCAGCAGGAAAAGCTTATTTAGGCCCTCTCACTAGAATTATTAATTTAGAAAATTACTAACAGTTTTAAAAGTCAATTTAAATAATGTTAGCAATACATATTGCTATGTTTTCATGCTTACTTTTTAGTTCGTTCATTAAACTCCAAATCTGCATATGTATTACCCTCGTTTTGGTTTTTCCTAAAAAAAACATATTTAGCTTCGAGTATAATAGTCTCTGTACACAGGAAGAAACTCATGCAGACATCAATCCAAGTTCTTCTAAAATACATTTATGCATGTGCGGCATCTAGAGGGGGGTCAGGGGGTCAGGACCCCTTGGAATTTGCAAGGATATTAAATTAATATATTAATGACAGAAATAAGTTACCTTGGACCCCCTTCAGAAAACGCAGACCCCCCTGGTAATCGCGAATTTGTGTTGAATTGGTGTAAAAAGTCAAAGGTTTGAAGCATTAGTAGTCATCGACACCCCCCCCCCCCCTCCCTTGAAATAGGTTTTTGAAGTTCGGGCGAGTTAACTTTTTTTTTGCTTATTAAGAAATTTCTGGGTTGGATTTTTTTTGGACTGGCATGGACACCCCCTGGAAAAAATTCTGGATTCGTGTCTGTTTATATAAAGAACCTTACAAACAAAGAAAACGTTGTTACCTGCTTTATCAGAAGGGACCATTACACGTACATAATGATCATGTAATCAAATCTAATTCTTTATTCACTTCTGGATTATTTAATACAGTAGGATAGACGGTTATCATTTTGTCCCCCAATCTTTTCATGAACGATTTCAGATACATCTGAAACATTAAATCCATTCTGACAAAGTGCCAATTTCTAATTTTTCATGCTTGACCCCAGCTTCAATAAAATCTAACACTTTTGAATTTCAGACGACAGATAAAGAACTTTTAAAGATAGTGATCTGAAGTCCTCATTATTAATCAAATATTCCTCCCGAGTTATGACGTGTCCAGCAGGACTATAGTGATATGAAGTCCATGAATACGATGAAGAAATATGTTTCAAAAATTCGATATCCCTTAGTAGCAAATAAAAATTCGTCTTATTCAATATCTCTGTGGCTGTTGGAGACCAGGTATTACAACATTCTATTGGAATTCACATGAATACCAACTGCGCTCCGTTTTTAGAAGACCTATTTTTATATTCATATGAAGCAGAATTCTTTTTGATATTTTTGATATGTTCGTTTTTCATACTTATTTGTTAGTCCATTATTTATACACTGAATTGACACGGATGTTTCCGCCATTTCCTGATTATGACAAGGAGCACACGGCGGGTGTGACCGGTCAGCAGGGGATACTCACATCTCAATGGCACCTGATGCCACCTCTGATGTTTCAGAGGTCCGTGTTTGCTCTGCTCCTATTTTATATTGTTTATGGACTTTGAGATTAAATACTGTTCGTTATCTCCATATCTTTTTCATAGTAAACCAAATCCAGAGCAATTAATATTGTCTGAAGTTGACAGTATCAATAAAATGAAACAAGAGGCCCATGGACATTAAAGCACACCTCGGCATCATGTAACAATTTACGAACAATTGAGTATGTTTTGTTTTTAAAACCACAGGCCGTAGTGTTCACAACTTTGAAAGAGACACCCTTCCTTATCATAACTTTAGACTTTTCATGCTTAGTTTGGTTACTTATACCCATAGACAGAATAGGGAAAAGAATCATTTCAACTAATCAGTAGAAATAATCAATAATCAATAAAGCCCCCCCCCCCCTCCCTCTACAGAACCCATGACCCTGCTGAAGTTATGATATTCACAGTTCTGATAGGACCCATCAGTTCATCATAATTATGAATGAAGTTTGTATGTTTAATACTCAAAAGGAAAGAGGAAGAGTTTCAAACAATTTATGCAATCTTGCTCATTATAACTATGTGCTTAGTTTGTTTATTTGATACTCAGATGCAGAGGAGAAGATTATTGAAGAAAATTTGCATTTTCACTATATAATCATTAGAGTCCCACCCTAACACCAGAACCTTGACTTTGGGCCGAAAAATTCAAAATTTATGAAGAGTCACCTTTGCTCATTATAACTTTGCATGAAGTTTATTACCCGGGAGCATAAAAGAAGATTTTAAAAGAAATAAGGTACATTCACCATGTAATCTACATAACCCCAACCTAGCACTAAAATCTTGATTGTAGGGCAATAACTTTTAAATTTTGATAAAAGGACTCAACGCCAAGTACCATCATACCAATAGTTTGACTGCCTGATGTTCAGAAGATATCTGCAGAATGCCTTAATTTTTCTGATTTTTGCATCACATCTCCAGACAATGGGGCAGAGACAATCAATGAAATTCGCAATGTCTTGACCTTCGCTCATAGATCTTTCATGCCAAAATTGGTTGCAGTTGGTTTTGCGGTTTCGTCGAAGAAGTTAAAAATGTTCAAAAGTTAACGCACGACGGACGACGGCAGACAAAAACAGATAGCAGTATATCATCTTAGACTTAAAATTCGAAAGGGATTCTTTATTATAGCTCAGGTGTTTGCCGTCAAATATACTTTCGTTTATATGTTGGTAATCAGGGAAAATGCATATTTTAAAAACGTTTATAATTTTACATTTTCAATACAATTGTAAATTCGTTAGACAATCATTAAATGTATATTTATAATTTTGGTATATATTACAAGGAAAGATTTTCCTCAGTTGCAAGAACTTGTAACAACTCCTTTGTGCGAATTTTTCAATAATATATGTTTAAAACAGAGAGAGTAGTTATTCATTGCATGTAAGGGTAATAATTCTATTACATCAATATAACATATATTATCCTTTTCATTTCGTTTTGAGAGAAACATTTATTTTAATGTGCACATCTTTATGTTTAAATTAAATTAAAATATTTATGTTCTAAACAGGAATATATGTTTGTAATCACAAATAAATACTCTGGTAGTTTACAATCCTTGGTGCAAAATTTAAGAAAATGTTTGTCAGCGAAAGATTTTTTGTTGGAAATAGATTTTCTCCAAAACAGTTTTCCTGTTCAACCATCAAAATGAATGCAATATTCGGCCTCTCAAGCTAGTTAGGTTGTTAACTTCTTAAGCTGCATCAGCTGGCTTATATATTAATCGAAATAGGTTTGCTTTGATAACTTAAAATTCTCCTTATTTAAGCAATTATAGCTAAGGCTAAATACATACCCATTTTAATTGTAGAATATGAAAGTTAATTTATTAACAAACAGGCCATTTTGTTGAATTTTGTAATCAGCAAAACGTATTTCAAACATTAAATGCCTGCATAAACATGACAAATGGAGTATATAATAAAAACTTAACTTATTTTTAAAAAACTGAAATAAAGGAAAGATGGACTAGGATTTGGTGAATCTTTTAATCAATCATCATTGAATATATTACATTCTTTTTACTTTTTTATACCCGCACTTTCTAAAGAAAGTTCGGGTATATTGTTGTTACTCATGTCCGTCCGTCCGTCCGTCCGTCTGTCACACTTTTCTTCCCTGAACTCCTCCTACATTTTACACAGTAGCTTAATCATCTTTTGGGAAATGGTTTGTGGGGTCATGTAGATGTGCAGTAGGGTTTTGGAATTTCGATTTTGCCCCGGGGGGTCAAATGGGGGTCGAAAAATGACGTTTTTTGTCCAAAAAGCCCCGTCTTCCCTGAACTCCTTCTACATTTTACTCAGTAGCCTAACCAGCTTTTGGGAGATGGTTGGTGGGGTCATGTAGATGTGCAGTAAGCTTTCGGAATTTTGATTTTGCCCCAGGGGGTCAAATGGGGGTCGAAAAATGACGTTTTTTAAGCAAAAAGCTCCGTCTTCCCTGAACTCCTCTTACATTTTACTCAGTAGCCTAACCAGCTTTTGGGAGATGGTTGGTGGGGTCATGTAGATGTGCAGTAAGGTTTTGGATTTTCGATTTTGCCCTGGGGGGTCAAATGGGGGTCGAAAAATGACGTTTTTTGTCCAAAAAGCCCCGTCTTCCCTGAACTCCTTCTACATTTTACTCAGTAGCCTAACCAGCTTTTGGGAGATGGTTGGTGGGGTCATGTAGATGTGCAGTAAGCTTTCGGAATTTTGATTTTGCCCCAGGGGGTCAAATGGGGGTCGAAAAATGACGTTTTTTTAAGCAAAAAGCTCCATCTTCCCTGAACTCCTCTTACATTTTACTCAGTAGCCTAACCAGCTTTTGGGAGATGGTTGGTGGGGTCATGAAGATGTGCAGTAAGGTTTTGGAATTTCGATTTTGCCCCGGGGGGTCAAATGGGGGTCGAAAAATGACGTTTTTTGTCCAAAAAGCCCTGTCTTCCCTGAACTCCCTCTACATTTTACTCAGTAGCCTAACCAGCTTTTGGGAGATGGTTGGTGGGGTCATGTAGATGTGCAGTAGGCTTTCGGAATTTTGATTTTGCCCCAGGGGGTCAAATGGGGGTCGAAAAATGACGTTTTTTAAGCAAAAAGCCCCGTCTTCCCTGAACTCCTCTTACATTTTATTCAGTAGCCTAATCATCTTTTGGGAGATGGTTGGTGGGGTCATGTAGATGTGCAGTAAGGTTTTGGAATTTCGATTTTGCCCCGGGGGGTCAAATGGGGGTCAAAAAATGACGTTTTTTGTCCAAAAAGCCCCGTCTTCCCTGAACTCCTTCTACATTTTACTCAGTAGCCTAACCAGCTTTTGGGAGATGGTTGGTGGGGTCATGTAGATGTGCAGTAAGCTTTCGGAATTTTGATTTTGCCCCAGGGGGTCAAATGGGTCACAAGGTCATTGACCATGGTGTCATTCCAAAGAACTTAATCAGTGGAGTATGCGTACTAAATATGAAGTCCCTATCTCCTATGGTTCAAAAGTTGTGGCAAAAAATGTAAAGAGCTATTTTTAGCATATCCGTCACAGTCAAGGTCACAAGATCATTGACCTTGCCGTCGTTTGAAAGGACTTTATCGGTGGAGTATGCATATCAAATATGAAGTCCCTATCTCCTATGGTTCAAAAGTTATGACAAACAGTGGAAAAAGCTATTTTTAGAATATAAGTCACAGTCAAGGTCACAAAGTCATTGACCATGGTGTCATTTGAAAGAACGTAATCGGTGGAGTATGCATACCAAATATGAAGTCCTTATCTCTGATGGTTCAAAAGTTATGGCAAAAAGTGTAAAAAGCTATTTTTAGCATATAGGTCACAGTAAAAGTCACAAGATCATTGACCTTGATGTCATTTGAAAGGACTCTATTAGTGGAGTATGCATACCAAATATGAAGTCCCTATCTCCTATGGTTCAAAAGTTATGACAAACAGTGGAAAAAGCTATTTTTAGCATATAAGTCTTAGTCAAGGTCACAAGGCCATTGACCTTGAAGTCATTTGAAAGGACTTTATTAGTGGAGTATGCTTACCAAATATGAAGTCTCTATCCCTTATTGTTCAAAAGTTATGGCCAAGGTTAAAGTTGACAAACAGACAAACAGATAAACAGACAAACAGACAAACAGACAGGACAAAAACAATATACGCCCGGGATCTATCGATCCGGGCGCTTAAAAAGTACCCTGCATATTTAAATGTAAATTGGTTGAAATTAGCCCAGTGGTTCTTAAGAAGTTAATGTGAAAAGTTTGCAGATAAACAGATGGACAACAGAAATCAGTACATTTCAGAAAACAGTATGCTTATAAATAGTTAATCAAGGTGCTTTGGGTAGCAAAATAAAGCTAAACTGGTATATCTAATTCATCCGCAGAGCTTAGTATATTTCAATATGCACAACCTTTTCAACTCTTATAATTATTTTTTAAAATTTATATCACCATGTCTCATTCAAGGGAGAACTAGAGATATGACCAGATGTATATCTGTTGAATATAAAATATGTACATGTATTCTGTGTTTTTTTTTAGTAATTTGTTTGTTTGTTGTGACAGCAACTGTAATGGCAGCTTTTGGCAAAGGTTGAAGTTTCTCAAATGTAAGTCAAACTCCAAGGTCAAGGTCAAAGGGTCTAAATTGTTGGTATCAAAGGGAAAGTCTTGTCACAAGGAATACAAATGTGAAAAAAGGGAGAAATCCCTAGAACTTCCTCACCTGTTCAAAAGTTATTGCCAAGGTTAAAGTTAAATTGGATTCAACTCTAAGGTCTAGGTCAAAAATAATTATACCTGTTGAAAGTTCACAATGATTACACATGTAAGAGCATGAAAGTCCTAGCACCACCTGTTCAAAACTTACGCCAAGTTCAAGGTATTTCTCTTGTAAAATTGGGTCAAACTCCAAGGTCAAGAGATCAAGAGGTCAAAATTGGTGGTACCCATTAAAAGGTTTTGCCAAAAGAAATTTACCTATGAAATATTGAAGCCATGTGTATAGCCCAATCCACTTAAAAAATATGGGCAAGGTTAAAGTTTCCGTGGACAAACAAAAATACATAAACATAGGAAACAAAATATGTATAAATAGTCAAATGAAAAAATTTTCTACTATTATGGAGTCAGAAGATCAATTGTCATTTCAGGTACAGGGAGTCAGTGGCTAGGGATATCAGCCCCCCCCCTGGAATTAGCAGTTATTTAAATAAGACTATATATGTACTGTAGAGAATAAAAATGACTTTGGACATCCTCCCCCTTAGAAAACAGGGACTCCACCATCATTGTTTTTATTATTATTTTTTATTTCCATCTCAGGAAATCTTGGGCTGATTTTTTTGACTGAGGTGTGACACCCCCCCCCGTTCTGAAAAAAAAATTCTGGATCTGCATCGGTTATATACTGAATGTCCGCAACGGGAGATAACTTGACAATGTGAAATTTGTCGACTGTGGCATGCGATGATCTTTGACCATGTTGACCCTTTTTGAACTTCAACCTAACCATTTGCATTTATTTATTTTTATGCAATCTATACTAAATCTTGTACTTACCGAATGTCATAGGTCGTGACAACGAATTCATGAAATATAATCCATATAATCCAATTAAAACACAAATGATTTTAACTGACCACACTGCATCGTCAGCATACATGTGCTAAATAATCTCATTCGACAAACCTTTGCTGATTCCGTTGCCAGTATGAATTGGCCGAGGTGTGCCGAGAGGTGATATCTATAAATATGATAATGGGTGACGCAAACCCAATGTGAATGTAAAAAATAAAACTGTTTAGTACAAGAACAAATTTCAAACTATCATAATAAACTAAACTATGTTTTTTAAAAAAAGTGAGAGTGAGAGAGAGAGTGTGTGTGTGTGGGGGGGGGGGGGGGGGGGGGGTAGGCATTGAAAAATTAATCGGGTTGTATTTTAAATGGGTTTTTTTCCCGACCAAATACTAAAATCAGTTTGCACATTTTGATAAATTCATCAAAAACGCTTTGTACTAAAATAATATTTTATGTCGTTGAGAAAGTAAATTTAAAAAGTTCCAAATTATGGGAAAATTATTTATTTGAATCTAATTAAGTAATTTACTTCAATCATTAATTAAATTCTGTTATTTCAGACTGATTATGAATTAAGTATTTTAAAATACATATGTGAGGCTCAGAGTTGATATGGTCATCTGAAAATTTTATGTTCAATTTGACGAATACATGTACGGTGATAATTATAGAATTATTTTGACTTCTTCCTTGGAAAGTCCAATATGAATGAGTGTATATTTAGAGGCAAACACCATAGTGCGGGTATTACTGTCTCATGACAGCATCTAGTTATGAATTACTTCTGAATCTTCTGGACAAAAGAAATAGAAAAGAATGTTAATTAATAATGTAATTATATTTTATGTTTACCTGCGTCGTTTAACGACCACCATGGCTATAATGATGACCAATACTACAGTGACAGCGGCTACCACCCCTCCTACAACAGCTCCAACGGGGAATTCATCCTCATCTACAGACAAAGGCAAATATCTCCAACATTACAATCAAACTTTTTTTTATGTTATAATAGAGAATTTGAAATAAATTGTGTATTTGTCGGTGTATGGAAGTCTGACAGATGGACTCTAAGGGCTCCACCCCCCGCAGACTCTCGCCACTCGTCCTTTATATTTGTTTTCAGCTCACCTGAGCCGAAGGCTCAAGTGAGCTTTTCTGATCAAAACTTGTCCGTTGTCTGTTGTCGTCGTTGTCGTTGTCGTCGTAAACTTTTCACATTTCCATCTTCTTCTCAAGAACCACAGCGCCAATTTCAACCAAACTTGACACAAAGTATCCTTGGGTGAAGGGGATTCAAATTTGTTCAAATGAAGGGCCACGCCCTTTTCCAAGGGGAGATAATCATGAATTTGTTAAAAATTAATGGCATTTTTAAAAAATCTTCTTCTCCAGAACCGCTGGGCCAGGAAAGATGAAACTCATGTGGAAGCATCCTCAGGTAGTGTAGATTCAAGTTTGTACAAATCATGACCCCCGGGGCAAGGGTGGGGCCAAATGGCCGACCCAAGTTTTACATAGGAATGTATAGGAAAAATCTTTAAAAATCTTCTTCTCCAGAACCACTGGGCCAGGAAAGATGAAACTCATGTGGAGTCATCCTCAAGTAGTGTAGATTCAAGTTTGTTCAAATCATGACCCCCCGGGCAAGGATGGGGCCAAAATGGCCGACCCTAGTTTTACATAAGAATATATAAGAAAAATCTTTAAAAATCTTCTTCTCCAGAACCACTGGGCTAGGAAAGATGAAACTCATGTGGAAGAATCCTCAGGTAGTGTAGATTCAAGTTTGTTCAAATCATGACCCCCGGGGCAAGGGTGGGGCCAAAATGGCCGACCCAAGTTTTACATAGGGATATATAGGGAAACCTTTTAAAATCTTCTTTTCAAGTACTTCAAAGCTATGATTAGTGATACCCGGGGTATTTATATGCAATCATCCTCAGGTAGTGTAGATTCTAGTTAGTTCAAATGATGAACGCCTGGAGGGGGGGTGGGAGTAAATTCAAGCCCGATGTGCTCAGGTGAGCGCTGTGGCCCCTGGGCCTCTTGTTTTATATATACTGATGAACCGTTTGGCTTAAAGTTATTCAATATCAATATATATATATATATATATATATATATATATATATATATATATATATATATATATATATATATATATTATATATTGTAGACGTACTTTTTTCCACGGGGTCATAATTCCGCGGAATCTCAGTCTCAGTATACAGTCCTACGCTTAATATTTTACAATAAATAGTCTTTCCTCACAATTCTAAGCTTCCCTTATTTACACATGTAAGTTAGCTAGCTAAACAAAGGCTGAATACATACCTGGTATTTTAACTGTTGAATATGGACCATATTGGACTGAGTGTGAGCATCCTCCATTTGTACAGGCAAATAAAATCACCCTATAAAATAACATATTTACATCTTTTAGGAGTTCACTTACTTTTAAATTATAGAAATGTTTGTTATAAAAATGTCTGAGACACCCTAAATCAGCTGCTCATTTAGTCACTGTTCAGAGTACTCAACAGACACAGCTATGCACTACATATTTTGCAACAATACAAATAACTTTCCTCTAATTCCACGTAAAGAAAGAAACATACTAATTAAAAGAAACCTACAACCGATACACAGATACAAATACACTAACGTAGATAAAATATAAACAAAGACAAAGCAAGAACACAAGTACAAACATACGTCACCATTCCACGCCAATACCATGACTATAAAAAGGCCAAATGTCAGAAATGCAAAGGGTATATCCCAGCGCTGATATCATGGATAATACTATACAAATATTGACTGGGGTTGAGGGCAACATTGATTATGTTAGCCCACGAGGAACGACATATTGCCCGACACGAAGTGGAGGGCAATATTTTCGTTCCGGGGGGGGGGGGGGGGGGGGGGCGAACATAATCAATGATGCCCGAAAACACAGTTAATTATGTTCCCCAAACGGAGTTTGGGAACATATTGTTTTTACTCGGTTTCTTATTATTATTATTTTTTTTCTTATTTGTTCTCCGGTACTTTTTTGTCCGCGAGTGTTCTCAGAAACTGTTCACCCAACTGACCTAAAACCTTTTTAGGGTTAATGGGTGTGTAGTGTAGGTGTGCGGAACGAAGGTCATTTTGCGCGCATACGCATGCACGTGCGTGCGCGTGCAACACGTGAAATGACTTGTATACTTAATATAGCTATAACTTTTACATTTTTTAATGAAATGATTTGAAACTTATTATTTAAAGATATATTAATAGTGTAGATAATGTGACACTGTCAAATTAGCACGAACTCACGCGCATGCACGTGCGCTTCGCTCTGATTGGCTGAAACAAAAATCTCAATATCTTTTTTGTTTTTTGACGAAATACTGTGAAATTTAAAACATAGGCATACTTTAGGATGTTCTACAATATGATATATAGAAATTGTCATGAAATTACGCGCATGCACGTGCGCTGCAATCTGATTGGCTAAAACTTTAAATGGCTATAACTCCCTTGTTTTTCAACCAAACAGCATGGGATTTAGAACATAGACAGACGTAATGGACTCCTACAAGAAGGTATGGTCATCATGAGCATGCTTGCACGTGCATGAACGTGCGCTTCGCTCTGATTGGCTGAAACAAAATTCTCAATATCTTTTTTGTTTTTTGACGAAATGCTTTGAAATTTAAAATATAGACATGCTTTAGGATATCCTACAAAATGATATATAATAATTTTCATCAAATCACGCGCAAGCACGTGCGCTGCAATCTGATTGGCTTAAACTTTAAATGGCTATAACTCCCTTGGTTTTCAACCAAACAGCATGGGATTCAGAACTTAGATAGACATTATAGACTCCTACAAAAGGGTATGGTCATAATGCACATGCATGCACGTGCGTGCACGTGAAATGAGTAAAATTACAAATACACTAGATTAAACATATTTTTGGATTAAATGCTGTAATATTTAGTATATTAAAATATATGATTAGTGTAGACAAGATGATATGGTCATTACGCACATGCATTCAAATGCGCATGCGTGCAATGCTGAAATTGATTACCTCTGGGAAAACTTTGTTAAAATCTTAAATGTATCGCGTTTGTCTTATTTAATGAAGCTTACACGGAATATGGCACAAAAGGGAGTTGGAGAGCGTTTGGGGAACATCTGTAACGGTTCCCGTTACAATTAGCCCTAGTTAATGTTTTGTTATATGAAATACAGTAAAGAATTCAATTTTATTTATTGTGAAGAAACATGACAAAATGAAACGTAAATAAAATTGTCCGTTTACTTTTATGAAAAATTGTAAATTTTTAAGGTAGCAATGAACGTCTGTCTATTCAATCCTAACTGTAATTGTAGTTTATCGTAACACTGCATTTAGTAATGAAGTTTTGAGGACGGGGTTTAGTGTTCATGATGGGCTGCTACATCACATTCATCAGGTACTGGTCATCGATGTCGTTCAAAAAGTCCAGTTCAAAATTTTCTGTACTGTTTTCCATTGCTACTGTTTTCCTGGTTAGTGATAAAACTTTCGATGACATCGGCTTTGACATCTCACTCTTTTTCTGTTTCATTCAGACGGAATGCATAGTGTTTAATGCAAGACTCGGATTTGTGTCCTGTTAATCCTATGATGTGTCGTGCCTCGTATCCACATTCGTCGAGGATATAAGTATCCCTTATGCAATGGTTAGTAAAAAAAAAAAAACGGTAATAAATCTCCGCGTCCGAGGTGTCCGCAAATCAAGCCATTTTTACCTGTTTGTATATTTGACCTCAACGATGAGCCTATAAATGTGACGTCACATTGTTTTTGGAGTCGTGAAGGTTGAATGCTGGATCTTTAAACAGAAGAGTCCATACCTGTATGATTGTCCAGAATTAAGAGGTCCATTACAGTATACATTGGAACTCATTGAGGAACATGCTGGATCTTCACCAATGGTAAATTCAGATGATGTTGATCTTTTTCTTCTGGATCCTACAAAAATATGAAGTCTTGATGAAAAACGATGATCCCTTAATTTTTATGCTTTATTTGTGAAAGTATATATATTTTGTCTTTAACTTAAGATCTGAATAAAACAAAAGAAACTTTCAAAAAAATACATTTATAAAATAAGTTAAATTTGCATAAGGATTTGAAAATTTGATTAAACAATCATTAAGTGCTTTCTCCAAAAATGTAATCGAAAAAGATTGACTGTTCAAATAAGTTATTGTTTGTTTCCGAGAACACATTTCAGTGTCTGAGGTAAAAAACGTAAGATACTAATACTTCATTCTTCGTACAGTCTATTTCGAAAAATCTGAAATTCAAGAGATGAACAAAATATTTTCTATAATTTATATCCTACAAAGCATTCACAAAAATTTAAATTATTTCTGTCCAAGTTGTTCTTTAGACTTCAGTTGATTTCAGAATTTTGGCGTAACCAACCCAATTTTAAAACTGAAAAATGAATGGTCTGGATGCAAGGATACGCTGTGTATTCTTTGATTGATATTGTCCCATGATTCTGGACATACTTCATCTAAGTACTTGTTCTTGATATATGGTTTTAAAGATATCAAAAAGGGCACCAACACATTCGTGAAAATACAGCAATAAAAATATTTTGTTGACTGGTTTCGACCAGGGATGGTATCCATAAAAACAATCAAGCATTAAGGTAAAGAATTCGGACCTGGCAAAACTTTATTATAATTAAATAAAGTTACCTATAGTGATAACTTTGATCCTATTGTTCACTGTTTTTAGAAAGTTAGTCTAGAACCTGAGATTAAGTAAGTAAATGAAATTATTCTTTAAATTGTGGATTGTTTTACTTCTGTTTCGTCATATTTGGCAATAAAAGCATGGCAGCACAGACTATACGTGGACATACAATGACGCATGTACACATAGATTGCTAAAAAAAATTGTACAAGAGGACATTATGTTAAAATTTCTATAGAAATTTTTGGATAACATATCAGTCTGGTTTCACCTGTGTTCCCTCATTAGATATGACGACATTAATTAGTAACGCCATGGAAATCGGTAACACCATGTTAAGGAGTAAGGCAAAAATGTTAAGATGTTTCAGAGTAACTAGTAGGTAGTGACAGATGGAAACAGAACAGTTACTTGTTTCACAATCCCTGTGTTAGCACAAAAAGTCAAGAAAACAAAATATGTATGATTTAGAGAAGTACCTCCATTCCTGATTTCGTCCATGTACGTTTGATTTGTGACTCTTTATAATGGAAATCCAGTTTTACTGGCATCATGCCAGTTTGGTAGCCTTTCCCAATTTTCTTTTACACTTAATGATCCGTGATCTAAAATTGCAGAGATTGCAAATAAAATTTAAATATCATATATATAATTAATATCTATATTAATTAAGATTGTGTTGAGTTCTACTAACTTTTACATTTAGATTTTTCACACACAGTTATTCCAAATAGAACTAGTATTCCGTTTAAATCATTTCTAAAGAAATCTGTGTTAAGTTCTACTGTGATGGTTTGCTGTGAAGACTTGTGTAGACCTGGCATAGTACTTATCAATTCTATGTTGTTGTCTATTGGAGGACCTAAAGTGGAGACAAAGTAAGAAAGTTTTTATTCTGCTGCATTACGAACAAATCTGAGGTGAAAGTGAATAAAAAGTAGATTGATATATCTTACTGAACAATAGGCAATTTTGTCTTTTAGTGTTTTCCCTTTATTTCAAAGAAATGGGTTAGAAATCAGTTATTATAGGTTAGGGATTGAGGTTTATGACCAAATATTTCCATTTCTAATTTTTCTCTCTGTGATAACTCTTTGAAAGTTAGCGGAGTTAATTTCTTTATAATTCTACCGGAATGTAAATTAGGCAGATCAATAGGCCAGGAGCTAAGGAGGCCTAATATGCATGCAGATCGCGTGCGCATCTGCCTCTGTGTCTGACGCTAAGTTTTACAAATGGAAAAGCAGACCGTTACTCCAGAAAAATAAATGTGTACGTTTTGCTCAAAAGAGTTTTATTTGAATACTTACAATGATATAGTTTAAAGATTAAAAAAATATTAATGATTTAATAAGAGATCACAAGAATACTCACGGCCAGAAGGTATTGTATAGGTAAGTTGAGCATCCTGACCTGCCATACTCTCATTATTTGTGACAAACACCTTTAAAACAAGGAAACTTTGAAATATTTCTTAGTAAAAATGTATACCATTTATCTGAATATAAGGTTGCTAAAATAAAATGAATAGTTCAAGTGAGATAATCATAAAGAAAATTAGAGTCGGGAAAAAAGGAAAGGAGCTGCTGAAGTTGAATACATCTTACCAAATATATGTGTGCATCAGTATGTTGTTTCAATTAAAAAAAATATCTTAAATAGTTTTTTTTCTAAAACAGAGCTAGGTCAAATATAACGGTCAAAAATTATAATAGATAGAAATACGTTTGATCACTATCAATATGCATCAGCATTTGAAGATTCATTGAATTATCTTGGTAATGCTGCAAGCCTGGAATCTAAATTATCTTGAAACCCCTAAATGTGCATTGGCAATAAATAAATATAAAAATCTGAAGTCAGAAACATTTTTAAACAAAATGCTTAACACGTTAACAGTGAAATTAAAATAGATTGAGATTAAGACTTACCGTTACAGTATATTTTTTCTCTGGTTCAACTGTAAAATTTTGTTCAACACGTTGTATTGAGAAGGAGACTGGTATTGTTCCAGTTAATATCTCTGTCTGTAAAAGAAAAAAATGTCAAATATATTTAATCTAAGGGAAACACTGCAGTTTAATCAATTCATTGTTTACCTGATAAGTCATCCACAACTAACTCAGAAGGGTAGCACTTGGCTTGTTCCCGATCCTGTCATATTTTTTCTACTTACTTTTTTAACATACACGGTAACAGTCGGTAATCTTACGTATTTATTTTTTTTATGAATTACTTCTTCAACTGGTGATTTTTTTATTTGATCAAAAATGAAAGTCCGACAGTACTGTAATAATATGTATGTATACATGTATACAATCTGTTTTGCAAAATAGTTTCATCCAGAAAGATGTTCAGAGGAGTATTGCGGACAATGGGTTACAGGTAGCCTGTATGCAATACTTTGTCAAAATGAAGTCCAACAAATTTGATAAAGTCATCAGTACATGTGAATTAGAAAAACTAATTACCCTTTTATTAGTGATTTTGAAATGATAGTTTTCTAAGACACCATTGCGTTCCCTCAATGATGGAATGTTCCAATATGCGTATGCCACTCTGTAGTTCCCTTCTTTAATATTGACAGTCAAGTTTGCCACTTGTCCTGGTGCTACATGCCAAAAAACAATGAATGTGTCAACATTGAAACCATTGTCAATCCTATTTGCAGAGGAGGTTAGTATTTTAAGTTAAAGACCAATTCTATATTGAATTTTCACTTTCTATTCATAGCCCAATATATTTCACTGCATAGCGAAAATTCAAATGACAATAAAGCTTGAAATAGCAAGGCTATGGTATAGCCAAATCTAAATCCAAAATCCATTGCAATGCTAATTAAAATAAATGTACGATTAACCTTCAGAAGAAAGGAAAGTCTCATCGCTAAATTTCAGCACCACTCCTACCCAATGTTCAGTCATTTAAATTAACTTAAATCAACACAGACTTGGAATGTCTGTTAAAATTTGATTCCCTATAAAGTTATTGTGGCTATACTCTAAACTGTGAGGCCATGATCTTGAAACTGAGAAATAAATTTGAATTGTTCTATTTAGGGATGTTCTGTATGCCAACTGGTAAGATTCAGGTGCCTCAATAAGAATAGAATTCTATTGGCATTCTATACCAACCGTCAAATAAATTCCTTATATTGCATATATATTTACCTTACAAAGGCATTTTTAGTCTAAACTAAGAATTTATTGCAAAAATAAAAAAGAATTATGTAGGCAGTATCAAATAAATGAAAAACAAACCTGCTTGTTTTGTTCTGACAATATCTGATAAATCTGATCCATTAATCCCTTTAATTGTAGCAGCAATAACTTTGAACTTGTATGACCAGTATTCCTCTAGATCAGCTATGGACAAAGACTTCTGATGAAAACCTAAATAAGATGTAAAAAAAAAAATATTTAAGTAGATTCTGTATTTTTTTTTTCAGTTTACGACCCTCTATACACTGTACAGTTGTATATTTGTATTGTTTTCTTTTTTATCTATAGTGACAGTGATCTGCCCTTAGTTCTGCAAACAAACTAGCGCGCTTTATGGAATATGCCTACGCGATAAATCGATGTAATTTACACACCAATAACCCTTACAAAAAATTGAATACCCTACCATTTTATTCCATTGATAACTATTTCTTGAAGGGTATGGAGATGAAATAATACTACAATATGATGTGATATAACCATTAATCCTCAGTTATTCAAGTTGTAAAAGTAATGATTCATTTACATCTTTTGAATATTACTATTCCAACCAAGCGGTGGAGTTAAAGGGAATGGAAGTTACTTTATTCCACTTTTACAAATGACAGCGGCACTAGATACCGTGTCCCGATAATGACTACTATTGGCTTTAATATTTGGTGTGTACTAATTTTGCCAGACACCTTAAAATGTGCATAAGGCATTTTTGTAGAATAATAACCAGCTGTCCCCAAAATATTAGTGTTCTCTTAAAGGCCAGCATATGGGGCATAATTGTTTCACAAACACATCTTGTCCAATCAACTGAAAAGGAACATTGGTATTTTTTCTTATTCATAAACATTAGTGAGTTTAGTTGGCAATAACTGGTAACTTAGTTTATTATTTGTAGCATAATTCAGTGAAAAGCATACACACCTTACAAATCATGAATTTTTGCAAAGTTGAACATAATTTAATAACAATGAAGTTTAATACACACCGTATGTGTACCGTTTTGGTTGTTTCAGGATAAAATTTGCTCCAGTATCATCGGTCCCTTCATACACTTCTATAGTGTACGTTGTATTGCCAGGTGAGGGACCTGCTACATCCCAAGACAATGTAAGAGTCTTTGCCTCCATATGAGTTGCTCTGATACTTCCAGGTTTTTGTGGAGCTGAATGATATTAGGATGAAGATAGAGTTAACATGATATTTTACTAAGAAGACTTGTAAAAAAAAAATCATAGTGGACCAAGAAGACTTTAAACATCATTGTGGGTTTTTTGCTGAAAAAATCCTTCATGGTTAAGGTTGTTTTAGGAATCAAAAAGATCTTTAATATTTATACTATCAATTCATTGTAAGTTTTCCTCAAAGAAAAGTCTACGCATCATGTTTTCTTTTTTATTCCATAAGATACATATGATATATGGAAGACTTAAATAATACATGTGATTGCTTACTTTCTTCTCCAGTCTTTGCTGTTGCATTATTAAAGCGTCCTTCACCATTTCTGTTTACTGCGGCCACTTTCACAATATAGTGGGTGTAAGGTTTTAGTTCTGTTACTTGGTGTACCATAGGCTGATATATATCTGGTTTTTGGATGAACTGGGGGTTTGTACAGTCAACTATATCCTTTAAACATATTACGATTCAGCAATAAAAAGCATAGCACATCGCAATTCCCTTTGTTCTAGGGTTGCTAATAAGGCAAGAGAAATACTACTAGTAATTCTATCATGCCAAATATAGCAACCAAAAGACAAATCCCTTTTATATCTTAAGCACAATATCCATGCAGGGTTTGTTAAGTGACAGGATTTATTCTTATTTAAAATGGGCTTGCTCCAAAATTTATCACGTAGCATTTTATCCAGAAAAAAACAGGGTAGGTTAAAGGAAGAAAACTTCCATATATGTTTGGTCATTGTTTATGGCCGAAGAAGAAACACTGAAAAAAATAATGTGTTCAATCATCTCCAAAATCTGGTAAGATTCCTACTTTGATTCATCATTATTGAAATTGACAAGCTACCTTAATTGTTAAATGAGCATTCTTGTTGATTTTAAAAATTAAGACACAATTAACGGCTAAAATACCTTGAAATTTAACCTTAAAGAGAAAGACTGGGTTAGAGATGGAGCAACTATTAATGTGAACTTTTTTTCAAAAGTCCTTATATAGTGTTGCTGGAAATTGCATTTCTAAGAAAAAGGAACCATTAGCTAATTTTTGTAAGATTCAGAACCCAGGCCCAGGTCTGAGAGTTTGGTCCTAGATGCAGGTTCGGTCACCAAAGGTTTGAGGTAAGTAACTCGAAAATGGTTCTGTATCAAATATTTCAACCCAGCCATTTATCCATAAAACTAAAATTGAACCCAGCATCTTAAGCATGTTTGGTATTATACGTCCTTAGATGCACCATCAATGCAAGTTGGCTACAAGGCTCATAATTTAAAATGGACCTGTTCCTCAAAATTTAACTGTTCACTTATCTGAAATATGTAGATCAGATCAAGCATCCATGCAAGTTTTCTTTAAGTTTGGTTCAGTTTTGATTACACTTTATCAAGGTTACCACTACTGATATTGATAGCAACACCAGCCAGGGTATAAGGGTATAGGATAAGATCGTCTTGAAGGGATAGGTAATCTAGTATGAAGGTCAGACAATACACCAATTAAAGCTTGTCTGGTATACCAGGTTTGACTTATTTACGTGAAAGTTTTTTATCTAGGAAACCTATAAGTGCGAGGGGGTCATACGTTCTGGGATTCTTTTGACATAATATATGGTTAACTTTGAACAATGGATCTGATTTAGTGGTTTCTATATATGCTTACATGTATCTCGGTATATTCATGTAAAAAGTAGCTAAATGTTCTAAATTAAGTTAAAATAACTATATATTATCATTTTATTCACAGAAGACTATTTAACATAAATATTAAATATAATAACTTCATAACAAATATTAAGAATATAAGGAGTAGTTACATCTGAACATTTCAAACGTAAGATAAAATAGTATACAGCAGTTTCGATCAAGGGAATACTGTTATTTAACTCTTTAATAAAAAAAAATATTTACACGTGATATTTTCAAAGTAAATTATGTACTGATACTGTATGTAAAGAACCATAGCAAAACTGCCTAGAATTCCTCCACTCAATGTCAAAATCCATGTTGACAATTTTCACTCTCAGAATCCTTTTGCTATGAACTATGTTTAAAATCACTCAATTATAGTGCCATAGCCTTGAAAACTCTAATATAAAAACACAAACGATGGGAAATTGTTATATTAAGAATACTAGTATTCCAAATTCTCAAGACAGGATTTTAAAAAATTTGCAAGAATTTTAGATTCAAGAAAGTCCTGTTCCACTCGAGAAATTAAAAACATAATTTAAAAAGGACTGAATATTTCTGCATGTATACATCTGTTCCTTACCTTACATTGTGGACAGTTTCCTACAAGAAAGATCTCTTGTACACAGGCGGATCCTTCCATGATAACGATTCTGTATCCAGCTAATTGATCCTTAACATTTTCAGGTGTATCAAATCTAATTTTGAACCCTCTGCTACCAATTTCATTTACACTTAGATAAGTTGGAGGGCCAGATACTGAAATCGAAATTAAATAAGAATGCCAATATTTCAAGAAAACATTTCTTGAGATAGTGCTTCAAATGTCTCTGTTTCCATTTACTTTCATACTTTCTTAAATTTGCAAGTCTCATAAGTAGGGCATGGAATTACGACACAATGATATTCATGAAAAAATATTTCTTGTTATTGTTTTAGACATCTACATGTATTTAAATATAAACATTATTTTATTTGTTAAAAAAGATATTAACGTAACCGTATTGCAGAAAAACCCTACCTTTCATTATGTTTTTTCTGCAACAGCTGCAACATTATTTTTTTCTATTCTTATACAATCTTATACTCAACATGAATTAAAGTAACCAGGTCTATACTGTCAGACACATGAAATTAGACCCACAACGTACATTTTAATTAAGTTATTGATTTTTATTGTTCTGAATTTGTTGATCTTTCTTTTTCTATATTATAAAATATAAAATTTGAACGCCTTTTTGTCCCAACCTTACTCTAGGTAGTCATCATTCGAAGAAACGTAGATCAATCTGGAGATATGACCAATAATGAATTTTCATAGTTGTTGTTTCATCAACATTTTAATCGTGAGATATGAAAATACTCAACAGATTTCAAGATAAAAGTCCATTTAAATCATACAAATCGGGAGAGCAAACATGGACCTCCAAAAACATCAGAGATGGGATTGGGTGCCATGGACAGGAGAGAACATCCACTACCGATCATTTGTTCCTTGACATGATCGGGAAACACGATAAATCAGTGGGTAAGTATTGACTTAACAATTGCTATGAACAAGAGGTCTACGGGCCTTATAGATCACCTGAGTATCATGAAACAACTTTCTAACATTTGAATTTGGCTCGTATTTTAAACCAGAGGCCAGGAAATTTAGAAAGAGACACCACATGCCTTTGCAGTTCTTGAGGATAACATTTTTCCTATATATTCCAAGGTAAAATTTTGATCGACCATTGTGGCCCCACCCTTTCCCCGCAGGTCATGATTTGAACAAACTTAAATCTACACTACCTGAAGATGTTTCCATATATATATGACCGATCCTGGCTTTATTGTTCTTGAGTAGAAGATTTTTAAAGATTTTTCCCTACAAACTTCCTGTGTAAAAATTTGACCGTCCATTGTAGCCCACTCTACCCCCAGGGGTCATAATTTGAACAAACTTGAATCAGAGGATGCTTTCACGTAAGTTTCATCTTTTTTAGCCGAGTGGTTCTTGAGAAGAAGATTTTTATAAAATGCAATGTATTTTTTTAATAATTCATAATTATCTCTCATCAGAAGAGGTCGTGGTCTTTCATTTGAACAAACTTGAATCCCCTTCACTCAAAGATACTTTGATACAAGTTTGGTTTAAAAATTGGCCCAGTTGTTTTTGAGAAAATGAAAATGTGAAACGTGTACGACAACGACGACAGACAAGGCTCACTTGACTTCGGCTAAAATGAGCAAATGAAATCACGTCGTTGATATATCTGTATAAGTATTTGAAGGCCACAGAAAGTGTTTTCTTTTTCTCGTGTAGAATTTTAAAAGTGGTATTAAAATAGATCGGTTTATAAAGGAGCACCACACTTAGTGCTCATCAAATTTAGGCTGTCTAAAAGGTGATCTAAGAAAAATAAAACTACAAAGATATTTTCAGAAACCCAAAGATTTTCTAACATCACCCTCAGAGTGCTAGAAACGGAATAATTTTTGGGAGTTGAACTATGTTCAGACTCCCAAGGTCGTCACGCGGTTTCAGTAATTTTACGATGAATTATATAGCGGCCGTCGTGGTGTTTCTGTGTCGGCCAATTTACTCCCCTGAGATATTCAATACAAACTCGTTCCAGTCTATATAAACTCGAAGAAACTTCCGCAATAAAAATAGTCCATTTCATTTTTCTGAATTAATCTAATTTTCATAAATGATTTTAAAGTTAATATAATAGAATTTTATTTAACTTAATTTAAATAGCATATTTTTGTCACCTCTCTTGAGAAATGACAATTTTGATTTCCGTATGAAAAAAAGTCCCAGTTTTCCGTCGTTTATCATTCGGCAATCCTCGGCTGACTCCACTACGCTCCATTACAAAAAGTGCGAGGTCATCCAAGGAGCAACATCTGGTCTAACTGGTTTGACAATGACGCGATTGTCTAAATATAAAGATGTAAACAAAGATGTAAGTTCAAAGGAACGCTAAAGTTTAACCCAACTTCTTTCAATTTGTTTCAGCAATAAAGAGACAGAACAAAGTTTCTTTTTTTAAAAAATACTGCGGAAAATATTACTGTCAGACATTTATTTGCTCTGAAAAGTAAAATGATCTGTTAGACTGGAAAATTTTTGTCAGACCAGATACATGCAACTCATTTTTTTACGTTGGTAAAGGGAAAAAATAATAGCATCAAAGTTTGTTGATATTAGATCTCACAATTTCAAATGACATTAATTTTGCATCCTTAATTTCATGAATTTATCAGCATTCAGTTGGTCACGTGTACAACACCAAATCTGAACTTGAAAAATGTGTATGTACTTGCATTGCAGTATTACCTTATGAAATGTATCATTTGATTTTATTATATAATAATTAAAACAGTTAAAACTACTGATTACATGCGAATGCACGGACACATAGTATAATAATCCCAATGATTGATCTGTGAGAAAGATCGTTCCTCATGATTACAACTGTTTTTTTTTTCTTGATTCAAAGTAAGGTGTTAATTGATCCTTATGTCGCAGGTTCGATTCCTGTGGGATGCATTTGGAGATAAACTCTTTTGATGAGACCATATAATCCAAAATCCCATTTCGCAGTATGTGCTTGCACAAAACGATCCCTCACTACTCAATGGTTTTGAGTGTCGTGTATAGGTAAAAATTTGTAGACTTACATGTAGCTAGCTCCATCGACAAGTGGTAGTGTCTCAATATGATTGAAAAATTATCGAACGTAAGACAAACAAAATGTAAAGTATTCAGATACTTACTTCTATATAGAAATTACTTGAAATGAAATTTAAATTATGGAATAACAAAAATTGATGATTAAGTTATATGGATAGATACATTTGATTGATTGATTGTATACTGTTTAACATCCCTCTCCAGAATATTTCACTGATATGGAGACGTCGACATTGCCGGTGAAGGGCTGCAAATTTAGGCCTATGCTCGGCACTTACGGCCTTTGAAAAGGGAGGGATCTTTATCGTGCCACACCTGCTGTGACACGGGGCCTCGGTTTATACGATCTCATCCGAAGGACCGCCCCATTTATCGCCTTTTACGACAAGCAAGGTGGCACTGAGGACCTATTCTAACCCGGATCCCCACGGGGCGATAGATACATTTGATAAAATAGATCAGCACGGAGTTCTATAAAAATTAATTATTGTGTCCGAAAAGAAACATTCATACACAAAAGAGAATAGCAAATACTTGTTTTAATCAGAGGAAGAAAAATGACAATCCAGTGTCTGGTCTGTTTGTTTGTTTCTTGGGACCAAATATATCTTGTACACATTCTAAAGAAAATAGGGGGCGTTTTGATTCAAATGCTTCGGAAATATATATAAGGGTAGTGTTTGAGTTTGAGTAATAAATGGTTCTGAAAGAAGTTTGAAACCTACCCATAAAATAGTATTTTCGAGTTTGGAAAAATTATTTTTTGGTGGTGGGGGTTGTTTGTTTGGTTTGGTCAAATTGTTGAGTTAAGAATTAGAGAGAATAAATCCAGAACTAAACTTAACTGTTCGTGCACAATAAATATACAGTTTTTTCAATTGATGGCACTGTAGCTCTCCGGTCTGTCAAAATCTTTTTTTCGGAGAGCTACAGTTCTGCAGCTAATTTAAGAGCAGTCCCATGATCTTGGCTATTCATATGCAATAGAACTTATTTTTAATGTTTCGTGTTGTATCTCTAACAAATCAGTTCTAGATGACTTGAATCTGAAAGCATGAAACTGTTCCTATACTTCCTGTGAGATCTTTCAGATAACAATGTTCAACTCCCTTAAGTACTTTCAGTACTTTGATTTTTTAAAGTAATTTAATCTCATCAGAGTCGTTGCATTTTCACTTTGTGTATAGCAGTTATGTTAAAAAATACCTCCAGCCTTTGTTGAACAGTTGATAGTCTCACTTGGTTCACTAACTTTTTCTGTTTCCTCTGCATCGTTGATTGTCCGCACAGTGAAATTATTATTTTTCTCTGAAATATACATATTTTTATGAAATACATGTATACACATTTTATATACATTTTACGTTATCTTGATTTATGCAACAGATAAAAGTTTACAACACTCGACATGTTTTATATCGAATAACTTTCGGAACTGAATATGAAGTTAATCATAAAAAGGGTATGCACTAACCAAGCAAAATATCAAAAAAGTATATCAACGTGTGTCAGAGATATCCGTCAGATATTCATGTAAGATGCAAATGTGTAAAGTAAAATTACAAATAACATTTTAAGAACACAAATAAATGAAAAAAATCATGCATGTGCATTCCTTTGTATCCATGTGAGATTCACTAAATGTCTTATATTTTTCTTTTAGAAAACCCTTGTTACAACTTAGATGAACCTGCAACTCATAGAAAGGAATTTCAATACATTTTAAATATACGTAGAAATAATCAATTCAAGAACTCTACAATTTATTTTACACAGCTGCTAGCTTAAAAAATTATCATCTACAAAACATTCCACATTTAGTACTAAACATGCTTTTCAAAAACTAGCAGGAGGTAGCAGCAGTCTACTGGTAAACGGGTATACGAATATGAGGGGAACAATAACATTTACATGGTGAATTTATTCAAAAATAAAAGTTGATCTCAGCAAATCAAATTCAACACTTGCATAGAGATTTCTGTTCTTTTTTTCTGATAAGCGAGGCAAATTGTGTATGGGTCAATATAAAAAAAAGCAGCTAAATGGTTCATGTGAAAATTGGAAATACAATTAAATATTTCCGTTTCTTTTTTCTATCTAAATTGATAAAGCTGCACAATATTTTGGGAAAACAACATTTAGAAAACAGTAGGGAAGCTATTTTTTTTCAGAATGTTCTCGTAAATATTATCAAACTGTGTTTTTCTGTCATTGGTGTTACCTTATAAAATTTTGTTGTATAGAATCAAGTGAAAAACTTATGAATGCAAGCAATGATAAACATTTACTAGTATTATTCAAGTTTACTGATAAGTCCAAAAGTTTCATTGTCCAGTGATGAAAATTAAATTCTCAATCATATTTGTACAATGACGTGAGACAAAAATAAAAAGACACACGCTATACTATGCTGTAAATGTGGTGCCATGTGTGTATAAATCAAAATAAAATAGTTTATGATTTTTTTCAATGAGTAAAATTAGGTAATTTAAAGTTATCTCTAACATTTAAACTTATTAAAAGGGAAAAATAACACCTTTTAGGTTGGTTACTCCACTGACTCAGCTGTGACACCAATGATCGAAATCAGTAATACCAATGACTTAGCACTTAAAAACTAGCAATTTAACATAATACAACATGAAATTTTATGTGAAAGACAGAATACACTGCATGACTAACATACAGAAATGAAATAAGTTTCTGGGATTTCATACTTAAAATGATCTTATAACAAAAAGAAATCTGGTAACACCAGTGACTGAGACTTATCCCATTGTGACCATAGCGTAATACAGAGCTACATGAGGTGTACTGTCATTTAATCATTTAAAGAATATGTGATTTATGTAGTTATGTTGATAACTTTAAAAAAATATAAAGGAGAAAACCCCCTGTTGCAAACGTTAATTTTTTCTTATACTTTTCTTCAATAAAGCCCCACATGTATATTGTATACAAATGCATGGTAAGAGCTGAAAGAAATACAGTGTTGGTTTATCATTGGTTTGAAAACAAATAATGTGGGTAGGGTAAAAGGATCTCAACTGTGTCGGATATAACGTTTTAAATCCCATATTCTTCATTAAAGAACTAGTGGATAAAATGTATAAATCAAAATCTCTTGTCATTGGTGTTACTTCACTAGTCATTGGTGTTACCATAAAAAGGTAACTATTTGTATAGAGATTTAAACAAACTAAGTTTATCTTAACTAATTTTACTTTACTTAGGTGATAACCTCTGACACTCATACTTGGCCTGTGAATTTTTCAGAAGGGAAAATACATTTTCTGTGCATAAAAAAATGTTTGTCATTGGTGTTTCATGTACAGTAAAACTCGGTTATAACGAAGTCACGGGGACCTATGAATTTACTTCGTTATATCCGTAATTCGTTATATCCATATAAGGAATTCGTTAAATTTATATAGCTAGGGATCCAAAATAACTTCGTTATAACCGTGAATTCGCTATATCCGTGTTCGCACTAAACGAGTTTTGCTGTATATGATCTGAAGTTGTCAGTGGGATTACCATATGTTTGAAACGTCTGTAAGTGGGAAAAAATATCTATTTGGAAAATAAATCAAAATACTTTCAAACACCATAAATTAGGTTTGCAAAGTAGAATACAAATAAATAACTTTTCTAAATAAGAAGAATATATTTTGCCTCCAAAAGCACTTGTTTTGTCAATGGTGTAACCATTCCTGTCATTGGTGTTAAACTCTGGGAAGTAATGCCAATGACAATAACACCAATGACGTATTAGTCATAAAATGATCTGGTATCTCTTATTTACCCTGGATAAAGTAAAAGTTTTGTCCACATTGCTATCAGTGCAACGAAAGAACATCTTACGTAAAAGAGTTCAGTGAATATCTAATATTGTTTTGAAATAACGATGGAAACACCACTGACAAAAAAAGTCTGTACTAGTGTACTTTTTTACTTCTGAAGTCCATCAATATGTTCTGATCATGAATATCAAAGAACTTTTTCTGTTGTTTTTGGTTAGAAGTGATGTAATATGACTTAAGACTGTTTATATTCTCTTATCAGGAATAACTCTTTTGTAGCAAAAACAAAAATAGTAACACCAATGACACAAATTTCTTGTACAGTCATATTTAATGCTGTATCAGTTAAATGGAAGATGGGGTTCATATTTTTTTATTCCAATATATATTCTATTTAACATTTACTTTATCATGTTTATGCATACATGATTTTTCAGAAAAAAATTCATACAATTTTTGGCATATTTATCCTTATCTGAAGAGAAAAATTCCATTGACAGCTGAATTTGGCTGATTGGTGTGATAAAAATCATCTATTGACTTAAATGAAATTAATTACGTGAAAATTTCTATTAGTAAGTAGAAAGTATAGATGCCATACATTGTAAAGCAACAATCCAAAATAGGGAGAAAATAAGAAATAGGATTTTACAAAGAAGTGACACGTTTAGCTGCTTTTTTTTATATTGACCCATATATGTGCCGACTATAAATAAAAATTACTTGACTTGACTTGACCACCTATATCACTTGATTCGCGCATGAGCAGAACGATGGCAGATGTGCATTAAAATAGGAGAGAACTAATTTAAAACATAATCAACACTGAAACCAAATATTGTTTCTTTTATGGAAGTTATTCAATTAGTTCGCGAACTTTTTGATCACCCCTCGTATATGCATATAATCTAAATCTTCGTGTTCATGAGTCCATGAAGGATATTAAGATAACGAACATATTCAATCTCAATTTTAAAGCACAAACAATAAATATGTAAAAGGACATGTACCGGTATCTCTTCAAATATTCAAAATATAGATAGAATTCAAAATTCTTAAAACATTTTTCCTATCTCAGAATATATATGGATTCATTTGGATAAATTGCAGACTTTTCAAGACAACTTTAACGAGATACAACGATATACTTAATGCTGTCAAAAAAAAAAACAAAAAAAAGAAAAACATCACGATTCATTTATTGTGATCTGTGTCTATGTAATTTAAACTTACTAGATCTTATAAGGTAATTAGAGTCTAACGTGCACTTGATCTCACTGGCGTGTCTGCACCTAGATATCGTATATGACGTCACTGACGTAATAGACTGTTACATGTATGTCAACAAAGAAACAGAAATGTGGATCGCTCAATTTCTCATTTTTTAATATTTACACGATTGTTTAAAACTCCTAAATATTTTTCATTAAAATATATTCGTTTAAACTTAACAAGCTGAACAAAATTTATAATAATAGTGATTATTTTAACTACGTGTAAGCACATGTTAGTATATCAAACTTGACTGTTCCATTCAATTCCATTCAGTGGAATAAGAGGAGTTGCGGATAAGAGATAGGTACCCCAAAACCCAATAGATGGATGGACCTACGCATGGACAGACATTCCGATCACTAAATACAGGTACCCTTCCACTTATCAAGCGGGGAGTACATAAAGCACGCACTATGAATAATCTTTTTACACAGTAAGCAATGATTTGAAAGATAAAATACCTGGAATTAAGCCCATGACATTGTAATTGGTCACATTGTTTGTAGTGTTAATGATGCGTTCTCCGGGATTTCCTGGATTTACGTGAACCTGGTACATCACAATCTGTCCATTAGGGTTGATGGGAGGCTCCCAAGATATTTCTAAAGAGATGTCCTTTGGATGTTGTGGACAGCTTAGATTAATTGGTGAACCCGGTTCTAAAAATGAGAAAAATAATTGATAAATATTAACAAAGGCGGATGCTTACATACCTCAGTACTATCCTGAGTCAAATGAATAATAAATTTTTATCTTAGTCCCAGCAAAATTTTAATTTATATTTTCATCAGAATTGTAAGGGGTAAAAAAAACTATGTCTTACTTGTTGGGGTAATTCTGATTGTCTCTGTGTATGCTGTACTCCTCTTTTCACCAGTTGATTCACCTGATGTACCACTGATTGTCACGATACTGACAACATAGTATTTCCCAGGAGTTAATGATTTCATTGTAATATGAATCCTTGGATTACTATCTGCAGTAAACTGTATTGTGCTGTCAATCATCACTTCATATCTGGTAACGAAGGTATTGGATGGAGGAGTCCACTTCAAGGTGAGGTTGTTGTGAGCAAAAGAACTTTCACTGTATAAAATAGAACTAGGTGGAAGTGGATCTGAAAAAAAATATTTTTAAGGAAATAGTAGAACGGTAAAAACTATAAATTGACATATGAAAAATACTTAACTCACTTTTATATTGATTGCAAAAAAAACGTAAATAACAGACAGTGAATCAATCTAAAATGCACAATCATAAATGTCCCGGTCTGGTTTAACAAAGATATTATTTAAACATCAATACATTCATATATTTTTTTCTACATTAATAATACAATGATTGCCATACATCATTTACAAAATATTAATAATAACCTGAATACTTACCGAGTATGTTGACTGTGGCTTTATTATTACTGAGATAAGTTCCTCCAGGATTACTAGCTGTACACTGATACTGTCCCATATCATCATCAGTCAAGCTGTTTATTGTTAGAGATGGAATTGATACTGTTCCTCCTGTGTACTTTGAGCCATTTATGGTGATGTTTTGAAGATGAGTATTATCTCTGTATTTTTTCCACAGTATTTTGTTTACCTCTGGACCTTCTACAGTACAAGTAATGGTTACACTTCCTCTATATCTACCTGCGACTTTCGGGCCCGTGGTAACAGTCAAGACACCTTAATTAAAAAAAGGAAAAAAAAATTATACATCTGATACATGTAATGGTTACACTTCCTCCAACTCTACCAGTGACTTTCGGGCCTGTGGTAACTGTCAAGTCACCTTGATTAAATCAGATAACATTTTTAGAATAGAAGCATTCGCCTCTTTACAATTATATTTAATATTTTAGATACGTAAATATTGCTAATGAGTAAACTGGACATAAATCTAACATTTTGTAGTGGATATGGATATCCGGTGATATTTTAATCACCACAATTGTACAATTCATGCAGTGCAGATCGCTGAACAAGAAAAGGTTTATTTATCCCTCATGCAAAATCTTTGCAAGTTTGGTCATATATAACTTCTTAACCACTCACAATATATTATTTTAGAAATGAAATTGGAAATGAAAACATTAGAGAATACAGTTCAACAACAATATCATAAACGTTAGGTCCATGGGCCACATATTGGGTACCACTTACAGGTTTAAACCCAAGTTCCTAAAATTCAATTATAACAGAGCCTTATAGAGAGAAAATAATGCTAACTGGATCCTATAAAAAGAAAAGTTTTTTTTTAAAATAGCCTGTTTGGAGAAGTTTTTATGCATCAATTAACTTCATTAAGATAGTACAAACTGAATATTATAGTAACTCACCTCCAGTTACATCCAGTGCAGCTGGTTCACTGTTGGTGAATCCCACACTATTATTAACCACCATCCTATACGATGTCTTGTCAGTAAATTTTACATAGTTGATCACGAGTTTAGGGCTGAGTCCAGTATCAGTACTTCCAGAGTATTTACCATCTGATGAACTAATGTTAATGTCCTCATAGTTATTATTCGTCCCTTGTTTCTGCCATGTGATGGTCACAGATGGCAGCACTGAGGTGTAGGAACCATTGAATGTTGCGGTGGAATTATGAACTACGGATGTGGTACCTGTGACTTCCACATCAGAGGGAGGAGCTAGAAAACGGGAATACACTTTAAATTAAATTAATTGCATGCAATGCCTATAATATACAAAATTTATCCAAGTCAGATTATTCTTCTTGTCATTTGAGGACTTCTATAAAAGATGACTGATACATGTAATTTCTTAACGATTTGATAATTTGATTCTTTTCAAAGCCATATAATGAAACAGAATTATAAAACAACTTGGCCGTCATTGGTTAACTTGTAAATTTCTTGTTTTCTGTGATTGATGCATACACATTCTCATACTACAATTACACTACGGCAAAGAAAAAAGATGAACTGTAAAACTTGTCTGACAGTAGCATTACATCCAAAGGTAGGTCCTGATACATTGGCGCTGGGTGGACCTGTAGAGCAGTCATTTTATAACATTTCAAGATAAATGTGTATATCTAGATCTATTTTATTGAAATGTAAAATTCCTTTTCATACAGTTTCAAATTTAATGCACATTTATACAGGGTCTGATTTTAAAATTGTGTCACCTCCAGCCACGTCCACTACCACCTGGTTACTGGAATCAGTCCTCCCTAAGTTGTTAGTAACTTGGACCTGGTATATGGCTTTATCACTGTAATCGAGGTTGTTGATGGTAAGTACTATTGTACCAGACCCCAGGTCACCTGTCTGTGTGTACTTTGTAGAGTCTAAGGTTATGTTTGAGAGACTTCCACCAGACACGACCTTCTGCCAAACTACTGCAGTCACATCTACACTTGTTGTGATATTTGCCGTGAGACTTGTGGATGACCCATACATGACACTGTTGACTGGTCCTGTTAAGGACACTGCTATAAAACCTTTAACAAAAATTTAAATCGCGAAATAAATCAGTTTTAAGATAGTTTTTGTCTTTATTAATTTTGTTTTATTTTATTTGTTTTTATTCATAAATTTCATAGTGCACTTTTAAAACTCCATGTAAGCAAAATGAATTTCTTTGAAATACATATGAAATTACCACTTTTTAGAATGTCTTTCCATAAAAAATTAAAATTATCCAAAAATGTTTAGACAATTATTCAAGTGTGATGGAGTATAATTTTATCTTCAAGTTTTAATCAGGAAATTCAGAATAAGAGGGGTTTAATTCGTCAAGGGTGTCTCTTATATCATTTTTTAGCCGGCTAATTGCTTGTATGTTTGTTAGTTGTTCAACCGGATATTCTGTTTTATCATCACCAAATCAACATTTTGAAAGCAAATACTGTACGTGTACATAGACTGCGTCACCCCTACTAATGTTATTGTGATTTAAATTCAAGGCACGTGGTTTAGGTTGATCTTATAGGGTAGAACCGGTGTTATAAATAAAATTGGCAGTAAACATGACATTACTATAGCCTGTTTCTTTTGAAAACATGTCCTGTAATAAATGTTTCCAGACCTTTCTGAAAGACTCATGATTTTCAACAGAAAAAGGGTGGCTAAAGGAGGGGGTGTTAAAATAACTATATATCTGATACTTATACTATTAGAGCACACTAGTGACCGATTAGCTTGTAAAAAATGTGCATAATCATCTACACTGACAAACCTTTGTTTGCCTTATATCCCCGCCTGACACTGTCTTCAGAGCGAATCGCCCCCGGTCGCACAGAGGATCTTACCACGAGGAACTGACCAATCGTTGAATGAATAGCAACGTTTACACCAAATACATGTTTACATTTTACTTCGAACACGTAGTTCAGGTCAATTTACGATCATGTTAATGGACTGCAAAATAAAAAAAAAGATGTTCTTACGAACAAAATACAAAGATAAGAAACTATGAAAGATGTTACGGGCTTTTTTAATTTGTTGTTAAATGGAAAAAATGTTTAATAAAATGTACATGTAGTTTGCGTCTAGTTCAGAACAACAGCGCTTCAAGGGTAAGGAAAACGAGCAGCATCTCATGCATTTAAATGGACAAAACTTTGTTTATATACGTCCGTGATCACGTCTTAGGCCAGGGAATTCACCTGGTAATTGTATTCACCGATAGTACAACAAAGGAATTAATACAGATGCAAATCGCTTTTGCAGTATGACTTTCAGAAACCTAGACTTCCGCCGTTTATTTAACAAATGAATTGTTTGTCATTATGAGCATGAAAATAACATTTTTAAAAATGCTTTTCATTTACCATAAGGTTTTCCTTTTTTTCAAGCGTAAAATTCCTGTAGTATTAACCTATAATGCAATACTCATTCAGCTGATTGGTCAGTTAAAATCATGCTGGTGCCTCATTTGCTAATCTGACGCCAAAAATATAGTCCCGGTTCCCATGCAAAAATATTTATCAAAAAAAAAAGAAATTTTAATTTTCATGACTGCAGAAAATTGTATCATATACTAGTAGAATACTTATTTAAGTTTGAATGAATGCCAGAGACTGATCGATTGAAGTACATTTCTACAGACATCTAGTGTGGTGAAAAACTGAAACGCAGCATAACTTTTCTGTTTACCATGCCGCCACGTGCTAGTCACTTAATTCCTAGCCCCATCCGTGAATAATTTACCCTATCTCACTGAAGTCTCACTACCTCTCGCCAGAGCCACTGCCAGAGCTACTCTGAACTCATCGGGATTTATAATTTGCAGAACACCGAAAAATAAAAGGTTCCGAACACATTTAGTAGGGCTGTGCGTAATCAAGCTATAGTTCAGTCACTGGGTATTGAGTTGTTCGCGTATTCATAATAAGGCGCTACACACTAATACGCCATTGATTGCATTTATCAATTATTTATTAGCAGTATTTATGAATTAGCACATCATTGTCCGCACCAGCGCCGCTAAAATATACGCTAATTGAAGTATACATACAGCATGTTACATATGCTCAGCCACCTTTGAGGCAATAACAAAACTAAAGTGAATTTAAAAAAAAAGAAATAATATTTTTCCGTTTAAACGCAACGTTTTTTTTTTAGTAAAAACCCTACAAAAAAACTGTCAAATAAAATGCTACTTTGTTCTACAATATTTTGAAATTTTAAATTGTAGAGATGTCTCCTTGTACTCATTTCTTGTGGTAACATAATAAAAACAACACAAAAAAAAGACTGATCAGATAGTCATGGATAGTATTCCTACACTTTAAAATTATATATCTTAAGTAACAGTATATGCGAATATTTGTCTCGGTTAAAAATACTAAACAACTATCTCTCAAATATAAAATACCGCGGAATTTTAGTGAGTTACAGTACTTATACTGTGTAATAGAAATAATGATAAGTGATATATATAGCTTTCCTTTAAAACTTTTACTAAACCAAGATAGTTAGATTGCAAATAACATATTTGGAAAAAAAAGTTTGTAAGCGTAACATTAAACGTTATCTAGAGTAAAATGCATATTGAGATTAAACTTGAGATGCATGGAACACTGAACAATTACAGTATTGGGATCTAACAAATCTTCGGTCAGACTTACTTGATTTGCACTCTCCATTATATTCCCCATATCCTGCATTACACCCACACTTTGATGCATTACATAGTCCTCCAGTATAGTCACAGGTGATGGTGCCATTACAAAATTCTCCAAGAGAAGCTGTTTCACTTGTTGCGATGACACAAAACAAGGAAAGTACCTGATTAAAATTGAATAATTTAACAATTAATGTATTTATTCTTCATTTTTTTCCTTGTGATTAAAGCATTATGGCCATATTAATCGCCAATTATATACAAGAAAGGAGAACTGAGAACAAAATACTTCTTTGAGGAACATTGCCTAAAACAACATAACCTCTGAATACAACAAGTAAATATATATAGTCGTCACATTATATATTTACATGTATTCCTCTTTAGTCTACATGTACTTTATATCATCCCTTTCAGCAATGTTACAACTGGGCAACTGCTTGGCGCAACGGAAGAGCGTCTGATCTATAGTCGCCGAGAGCGGAATTGATCCGTACGTCGCAGTTTCAAATCTCTCTTTAGGACGTGGAGAAAGATCCTTTGGATGAGAATGCATGAACCGAGGTCCCGTATCGCAGTAGATGCTGGAACAAAAAAATCTCTCACTGCTCGATGGCCCTGAGTGCCGAAGATGGGTCAAGAGATTTGCAGCCCTCCACCTGCAAGGGGTGGCGGCTCTATATGAGTGAAAAAATCTACAGGATGACTTAAAACAACTAATAAACATAATTAATTCTTACTTTACATTGATCATTAAATGTAACAAAAATAGAAAATATAATAATAGCACTTTTTAAATGAAAACATACGATGCCCGAAAACGACAGACCCATAGAAAACAAAACCAAAGGTGAAACAAGAGACCAGAGAGACCGCACTGGAGACCCGAACCAAACGAAAACTTTAAAGATTGAAAGTGAACCCTCTACCTAATAGCACATTACATAAAGTTTAATTTGGGCATTTCTGGTAGATGTTTTAAAAATGATTGATTATATGTTATTCATTTTACGTTACCTCTAGTCTGACCAATAAAAACACAAAATCGCAAATGGAAATTACGTATGAATAATTTCTAAAACGAGGTAAATTAATGACAAACAAGTTGATCAAACAAGAATTAATATGGCAATCTCGTTTAAAGTCATCATTTCGTTTGTACTCTGGTCAATACAATTTATCATTGAGTCAAATGGTGAGTGACGTTGTAATTGTTAATCCATTATTTATACACTAAATTGACGACGGCAACGAATTCTTTTCCTTATATATCCTGATCATGACAAGGAGCACATAGCGGGCGTGTCCGGTCGACAGGGAATATTCACTCCTCCATGGCACCTAATCCCACCTCTGATGTTTTGGACGTCCGTGTTTGATCTGTTCCTATCTAGTATTGTTTTATGGATTCTGATATTGAATACTGTTCGTTATCTCCAAATCCTTCCTTCTCCAAAAGCACCCAAGTCTTCGATGAAATATGATGATAAGGAACAATATTTACGCTAAAAGTCTAATCAAACAACACATCAAGAGCAGAGCAAACAAGGACCTTCAAAAACCATCAGGTGCTTAGGAAGAGTGAGCATCTTTGTCATGATCGGGAACAGAAAAAACCGTTGACAATTCAGTATGTAAATAATTGCCTAACAATTGGTATGTAAACATCAGTCAGAATTTTATTTAGTGATAAATTGTGTTTGATGACAAGATCACTGTATCTTGCTTAGAGGTTGTACAATGATGACTTCAAGAAATCCCTGCTTTATTAACTTGTTTGTTAATAGCTTGTCTAATTCTAGAAATTGTTCATAGGTAGAGTATGCTCTTCGACATCGAATCAAATGAGAAACATAATCCGGATATTAAGCAAGTAATGAGGGTATATTGCTGCATAAGTAAGGGGAGTTGACCACTGAAAAGTTGAAGTTGTCGTGCGTTTATTTATATAAATCTTTGTTTTAAGGTATTCGTAAATGTCCTTTTCTACTAAAATTTCCAGTTATAAAACATTCTTGGCAGAATCTGTTGTATCTTTGTTTCAAGCAAACTTGGATATATTGAACTCAAGCACCAAACACAAACAAACTAGGGTCCAACATACGGGGATATATATTTTTCGAAATAAGGGGAAATTAATTGACATTGAGTGGCTGTGATATGTAGGTATATATGTCAATTTTTTATAGATGGATGATAATGTAATTCAGAATGTTTGATTAAGATTGGATGGTTTATTGTATATATGTAAAACAAACATTTCAGTTTACCGTATATGTAGTTTCGAGAGAAGTGTTTTGCTTCCTGTTTCGCACACCTTTCAAATAAGATTAATAAAGTCCTGGATTGTTAGGAGTTATTTAACTAAAAGCTGATTTTTTCATGTTTAATCGTATTTTACATTTTCATGATTTTGGATCCTCTAAAGGTCTAATTCATTGGATGTCATGTCAGAGGAAAACATGATTTCTTTTTAGTGTATCAACAAACTTGTGCTTTTATGCACAGGCACCTGACACAAGGTTTCTTCCCATTTCTTTAAGTTTTAGAGATTGACTATTTGCGGTATATTTATGTACCCTATAAAGGCTAGGCATTCATTTTCCTTAATCAGTAATATTACCTGACAAAATTTTAATCTGTAATAGTACCCAATAAAAATTTCAGAAGGTTAGGGGGCGGGGTTTACACAATCCATACGTCAGGAGATGTGCATTTCTGAGTATATTCTTTAAACTAATTTAATAGAAAAATTTTACTTGGGAGCGGAACTAAAAGTTCGTTCTCTGAGTTGATAGGCGAAATTCCCTGAATAACCCATTGCATTCATTTTCTTAAAAAAAACATCAGTATGAATCTTAAACTAGACGTGTAAGTAACATTAAAAAACTTTGTTATATTCACCATACAATATTTTATGAAAACAATCCGTGTGTCTATTTTTAACTTGTTTACTGACTACATAGACCCGATATCAATTCTATCGCAATGTTAACATTTGAGGTAGTTTTATGGCAAGTTGATGCTAACCAGTAGAATGCATGTCGAGTTGTACTAATACACATGTATGTATAGTTCATTATGACATAAAAACGAAACTATTTTTGTCACAATTTTTTACATTTTGTCAATAATCATTGCCTCTAAATTTGCAGAAAAATTTAATCGAAAGTATCATTAGTTAAGGCCTCAAGTAAAACGATAACAGCACAAGTTAATAACTCACTTTTAAAATGTTGTTATCCATAATAGAGTTGTTAACGTTGTTCGTTGTTTTCCTTCAACAAGGAAGCTAAATGCTTGGTTTGCTTCGCAATTTTAGAGTATACATTAAAAAAAAAAAAACGCTTATAGGGTGTCTATCTTACACCTGTTCTTCTTTGTCAAGTTTTAAACTTTTACACATGATATATTAAGGTACAATACCCCTCTGATATGAGAGATAACTGCAAAAAATATTTAGTTGAATAACTTTTAGCATCATAATTTGTTATTTAACATGTTGAATGGGTACTAAACACTAGCCCTACGAAGAATGTTTAATAGATTATGCTAAAAATAATTTTATTTGAATAAAGAAATTTATCCAAAAGTCACGCTTAGAAAGTAACGATACAGGTTTTAATTGGTTAAAAGAAGTTTACAATCTGGAAATTCAAAATCATGTATCCGTAATTCATCTAATACCCCCCCCCCAAAAAAAAACAAACAAACAAACAAACAAACAAACCTCCTCTCGATATATAAGGGCTTTGAATCATAACTTGAATACTAATAAATATGGTCTCCAAAAACTACTTAAATATTATCAATCAGAAACTCAAGCACCTCTTTGATGTCACCTTAAAAACTTGTGTGTGCAATCAGAATGTGCTTTAACAAAATAATTTTGCAAATGACCAATGACCAGGTAAGTAAATTTACGAGTTCTAATTCTATTGAAAAAAAAAACTGTCAATGATATCGAAAAGCTTGGACTTTAATTTATCGTGTGGAATAGTTGTGTATAATGTTGAAAAGTCGTAAGTTTTTAAGCTGTTGATTTTGTAAAAGCTTATGATTTCAAGTTGTCCAAAAGTTCTTTGGATTTTTGAGTATCCACATCTGATTCAAACCACTTCTTGAATATATTGTTGCACAGTATTCTTAAAGTTTTTCCTTCTCTACTGTCAATATCTAAGTGGGGAGTAAAGAAAGAGGAGTGACTTAACATTTACTGGAACCCGCAATGTATCTTTGTTTGGAAGGATTTTTATGAAGTTTTGGAATCCAACATACTATATAGTAAATAAGGTAGTTCAAATTCATTTTGGTTCTGTCGAATGATAAAAAGGTTTAAAACTGGCACATGATTTTGAAGAATTTCTTCCTTAGAAAGGGAAGTATAAGTAGGATTACCACTTGTAGAAATCAATCCAATTTCTTCCAAAATACAATTTATAAAATGAGCCTTACAAACGAAGACAATGTTGTTACCTGCTTTATCGGCAGGGACCGGTACTTTCTGATCATGTAATTTATCTAATTCTTTTTTTCACTTCTGGATTATTGAACACACAAGGATAAGGGATATTAAAAAAAATTAAAAAGCTTGAAATCAGCATTTAACATTCTTAACCTTTTTTTAGTGAATGTCGCCCTATTTCTAAACTCTCAACATTCTATAAATTAATTGAAAAACATACGGCAAACCAAATGATAGATTTTACCTAAACTTGATCAAAAAATGAATAAAATCATGAGTAAAAAATATAAACGAAGTTTCGGGGGTATATAGTTTTTGTCGTGTCCGTCCGTCTGTCTAGCTGTCTCTCTGATTGTCTGTTTGGTTTGTCTGCAAAAACTTTAACCTTGCCCATAACTTTTGATTTAGCGGAGCTATGACTTTCATATTTCACATGTGTACTTCTTGTGACAATACCTTTCTCTGGATACCAACAATTTTGACCCTTTGACCCTGACCTTTTAGATTTCTGTACTGTGAAAAAAACTTTAACCTTGGTATTAACTTTTTAACTGTAAGAGATAGGACTTTCACACTTCATATATGTAATCCTTGTGAGAAGACCCTTCATTAGATATCAAGAACTTTGACCCTTTGACCTTGACCTTTGAGATTGATCTACTTTAAAAAGCAAACCTTGACCATAACTTTTAAAGCTAG